TGACTCTCAAATAAACAACATTTTTAAAAAGAAAATGGATGATCATTTTCTTAAAAATAAATAAATACATACAGGGGCCAGCATTGTGGTGTAGCATGTTAGGCCACTGCCTAAGATGCCAGCAGCCCATGTGGGCACCAGTTCGAATCTCAGTTGCTCCACTTCCAATTCGGCTCCCTGCTAATGTGCCTGGGGAGAAGAGTGGAAGATGGCCTCAATGCTTGGGTCCCTGCGCTCATGTGGGAGACCCAGAAGAAGCTCCTGGTTCCTTCAGCAGATGGAAGCTCACTCTCTGTGTCTCTCCCTCTCTCTCTCTGTAACTCAGCCTTTCAAATACATTTACAAAATAAATCTTAAAAAAAAAATCAGGCGGTAACACATGTTGGCAATGAGGAGGAGAAACTGGAAGAACCGTGACACGCAGCTGGGGCGAATGTGAACCGGCTTACTCACTCTGGAAAACAAGGCGGCGGCAGGATGCTCACACGCCCCCGAGGCGGGCCTCCAGAAGCCCGCAGAGTTGACAGCAGGCTCTCAAACCAGTCGGTTCACACCGTGTTCACAGCCACCAGGAAAGGAACAGGGAATCCGTGGGAATCGATTCAGCCACAAACACCGCAGGGGGAAGACCAGCCAGGGAGGGCCTGGCTACAGCTGTATGATTCCAGTGACCTTTCCTAGGACAGGTGACACTGGAGCACTGGGAATGTGGTTTCGGTACACGCACGCGGGGACGCGAACATTCAGAGCCGGGATCGAGCGCCCAGGGGTGTGCATCGCCCTCCGGGGCTCGCGGTGGCGCCCCTTTCCTCCGTGGCCTTCCACTCCACCATCCCACCCCAGCTGTCCTGCTCCTCAGTCCTCCAGGATGGGGAAGACAGAGCCAAACGGGACGCGAGTGGACAGGCTCCCTGCAGGGCCACCCCAGGGCTTGGACCAGGGTGAGGTGAGGGCGGCAGGCACTTCATTCACAACAGGTACAGCGGAGCCAAAACACGGAGGAAGGCACCAAGAAGTTGTAATGCAACATTTTAAAGGCAAATTTGAAATGACTGTCAAAAAAGATGATACGTTGATAAACAAAATGCTGACGTTTTAAATAAAGAAAGGAGCAGGGCCAATGCGTGGTGCAGCAAGCCGGGCTGCTGCTTGCAATGCAGCGAGCCACATCCACGTGCGCGGCTTCGAGTCCTGCCTCCATTTCCCATCCACGTTCCTGCAAATGCAGACCCTGGGAGGCAGCTGGAGATGGCTCCGGTGTTTGGGAAGCGAACCAGCAGATAGAAGGTGTCTCTCTGCCTCTCCCGCTTGCTATCACTGATTTTTCAAATAAAATCAGAGTTACAAACAGAGAGAGAGAGAGAGAGAGAGAGAGAGAGAGAGGTCTTCCATATGCTGGTTCACTCCCCAATTGGCCACAACGGCCAAAGCTGTGCCAATCCGAAGCCAGGAGTCAGGAGCTTCTTCTGGGTCTCCCACGCGGGTTGGAGCCCAGGGACTTGGGCCATTTTCCACTGCTTTCCCAGGCCAAAGCAGAGAGCTGGATCAGAAGTGGAGCAGCTGGGGCCGGCACCACAGCTCACTAGGCTAATCCTCCACCTGCGGTGCTGGCACCCCGGGTTCTAGTCCTGGTTGGGGCACCGGATTCTGTCCCAGTTGCTCCTCTTCCAGTCCAGCTCTCTGCTGTGGCCCAAGTCCTTGGGCTCCTGCACCTGCATGGGAGACCAGGAGGAAGCACCTGGCTCCTGGCTTCGGATCGGCGCAGCACGAGCAGCCATTTGGAGGGTAAACCAACAGAAAAAGGAAGCCCTTTCTCTCTGTCTCTCTCTCTCTGTCTAACTCTGCCTGCCAAAAAAAAAAAAGTGGAGCAGCTGGGACTCGAACCGGAGCCCATATGGGATGCTGGCACTGCGCTGCCACAGTGCAAAGTCATTTCAGAGCTTGAGGTACAAGGAAAAATCAGTAACAAAGATGAAGAGGGCAAAAACAAATTGAAAATCTTTGGCCATCCTCAGAGAGAGATCTTTCACTCACAACACAAGAACAGGAGGATTAAAAAAGAAAATAATCAGAATAATAGAGGTCTTTAAAATGAGCAATACAGTAGTAGAAATAGAAAGTGAAACAATAATAACAAACTAATAAATTTTTTAAAAAAGGAAAAAAATGGACGATGGAAGCGAGAAGAAAATTCAAGGATAATTGCAGACACAGTGTTTCTCGGAGAGAAATCGTAGGAAGGAAAGGCAATGGGAGGCAGAAAAGCATCATAGAAATCAAACAGGGGCCAGTGTGGTGCCGCAGGCTTGAGTCCCGGCTGCTCGGCTTCCGATCCAGCTCCCTGCTGATGCGCCCGGGTGGGCAGGCAGAGAATTTCTCGGGTACATGGGCTCCTGCCACTCATGTGAGAGTGGCAGTCCAGCCCAGCCCAGCCTCAGCAGTTGAGGCCATTCAGGGAACGCACCAGTGGATGGAAGCTCTCTCTCTCTTTCTATAATTTTGCCTTCCAAATAAATAAAATAAATCTTAAAAAAAAAAAAAAAAGAAAAGAATTTCCAGAACCAGTGGAGGTGTGTCTCCAGACTGAAACACAGTCCTTGGATAACCAGTACGGGCAAAGGCATGGAGCCAGTGTGAGTTAAGAGCACAGGGAAGGGGAAGGGGGGACAGGAAGCACCTTGAACGCTTCCAGAAGGTGGCGGAGGGTGGAGGGGTGGGGGTGGGGGGTACAAAGGTCAGGAACAAGAACACCAAACCTCTACATGATGACACCGGAAGAGAATGGCAAGACTTCAAACTTCTGAAGGAAGCTTATTTTTAACCTCAAGTTCTATATTCAGCCAAACCATCAATCAAGTGAGATGACAGAACAAAGGCATCTTCAGAGGCGCAGGTACCCAAGAGACTCGGCCTCCTGTGCGCACTGTCTCAGGAGGCCACACAAACAAAGGGTGCGGCTGGACACAGAAGACTCAAGGTCAAGGGAACAAGGCAGCCCGCAAGGGAGAGAGAGGACAGACAGACCGAGGGTCCAAGGACGAAGGGGAAGGGAGGGCAGGCGGCTCAGGCTGGAGGAGAGGCTAGGTGGGAAGAAAGAGAACTGACCCAGAGCACACGGGAACCTCAACTGGAAGGCAGCGGATGATGTGCAAGACGACGGACAACGCAGCCATGTAAGGCGGCCAATTAAGTGCGTGGGGGTGGGGTGGGCTGGGGGAGTGGCAAGGGAAAACAAAAATTATCCCAGACACAGTGACACCCGCTTGTGGTGCACGGGACTTGTGTGGCAGAAAGTGGATCGTGCGGACTGAGCGCAAAGACGAGAGCCCAGGGAAAGCCTCGGGGGCTCGGGGCCGGGCAGAGCGGCCAGAGCTCCACCCGCCGTGACGGGGGTCCCCAGACAACCCTGCACCCCACGACCACGATCACGAGGCAGGGGGCAGGCAAATTACTTGGAAATGAGGAAGTGAGCCCGAGAGAACCTCTCAAGGGCGCCGGCTGCGGCAGGAGCAGGGGTCGGAAGGGGGGCGGGACTGCTGTCCTTGTACTCGGTCAGCACTGTTTGGTCTTTTATTTTCCTTTTCCGATTTGCTTACTTAAAAGGCAGAGTCACAGAGACTGGAGGGAGGGGATATCTTCCATCCTCTGGGTACCTCCCCAAATGCCCAAAACAGCTGGGGCTGAAGCCAGGAGCCAGGACTCCATCCGGTTCTCCCGCAGGTGTGGCAGGAATGCAAGCACTCATCCTCCACTGCCTCCCAGGGTTGCATTAGCAGAAACTGGACTGGAAACAGATTAGCTGAGTCTCAAGGTTGGCACTCGGATATGGGATGTGGGTGTCCCAAGTGGGAGCTTAATACCCACCCACTGTGTGACCTCATTGACCTTTGGCATGGACTTTTTAAAGAAAACGCTCATGGAAACAAAGAGATAGGGGGCCAGTGTTGTGGCAGAGCAAGAAAAGCTTCCGCCTGTGATGCCAGCATCCCATATTGGTGCCAGTTTGTGTCCCAGCTGCTCCGCTTCTGATCCAGCTCCTTGCTAATGCACCCGGGAAAGCATCGGAGGATGGCCCAAGTGCTTGGGCCTCTGCCACCCACATGGAAGACCTGGATGAAGCTCCTGGCTCCCCACTGTGACCATGTGGGGAGTAAACCAATGGATGGAAGATCTCTCTCTGTCTCTACCTCTTTGCCCCAGGCACCTCCCCCACGCCCAGGGACACACTATACACCACCCCCCATCACAGAAGCTCTGAAACGTTCACAGAGACAGGCACACATGCAACACACGCAAACACCCAGACACACGTGCACACACAGGCACGCACACAACACAAGAAAACACCCGGACACTCGTGCACACACAGGCACGCACCAACACAAGAAAACATTCAGACACTCGTGCATGCACATCCTGGCTGATGCGCACACTTCCCAGAAAAGCACACTCTTGGATTTACCCCTAGACACCCCGGGGACCCAGCCTCCCAGGACAGCACCTCCTCCAGGCTCCGAGCTGCCTACTCCCTACACCCCCAGCCCCACGTCAGCCCTGGGCACAGAAGGTCTTTCCAGAAGCTGCACCCTAATTGCTCTCTCCACCTGGCCTGTGCCTCTGCAGCCTCTGCCCCTTTGGGGTCCCCCAGTCTGTGGGTGGAGCAGACTCGAGGCGGGGGAGGGCTCAAGCTGGCGGTGGGGATGTGACTGATGCCACTTGCAGCTTTGTCTCCCCTAGGTGGCAGGAGTCCAGTGTCAGGAACCACGTGTCCAAGCTGTGCACTCACCCTCCTGGGTCCAGGAGGACATAGGCAGCCCCAGAAGCTCTGAGGGGCTATGACCTGATGACCCAATCTGGGCCCTGCTTCCATGCCTTCCCCTGGGATCCCTCTCTACTCTGACCACCAGGGCCAGCTCCAAAGCATGCATGACTTGCTGGCAGGACAGGTGCACACTGGGTACCTGGCATACACCCCCCACCCCATGGTGCTTGGAACTCACCACCACCCTGGTGCTGTTGTCTGGCAGTGTGTCAATGGCCAGGGTACCCCCACCCAGGTCCTGGCTCAGCTGGGTCCTGTGTGACCCTGACACCTGTCCAGGGCTCTCTCGGGTTCTCTGATTCCAGCCCTGCGTGGTCTCCTTGGCAGCCCATCCGGAGCCTTGACCTTCACTGTGACCTGGGGGAAGAGAACAGAAAACTGAGCGCCGGATGTGCAGAGTGGAGATCTGGGAGGGGGAGCCAGCCCACTTACTCTGCAGAGGCCGGGACCCGTGCCCTCACCACCCTGGGGACGCCCGGGGCACCGGGGCAGGAGACGGCCCACATATGCTGAGAGCAGGAGACCGGCCTCAGAGCAGAGTCAGCCACGGCGGGGGAGGGAGGGAGCAGGTCTTAAGGCCAGAGTGGTCTCCTCCACGGTGATCACTGTCAACCTCAGCACTGGAATCGCCCAGAGCTTTAGAGGCCCTGACACATGGACCCCACACACGGAGAAGTGATGTAATCACTCTATGGTATGGCCTGGGCGGTTCATAAGACCCAAAAGACCCCCAGGGGAGACTTGAGAAGGCCTGGACTCAGTGAGCTCTGCGACTGAGAGACGCTGCTCTAGAACCTTCCAAACCAGTTCCTTATTTCTCTGCCAGAAATGGCAGCAGCCCTGTTCTTCTGGGTCTCCCACGCGGGTGCAGGGGCCCAAGCACCGGGGCCATCTTCTGCTGCCTTCCCATAGCAGGGAGCTGGGGCAGAAGGGAAGAAGCCGGGGCTGGAACCGGGGCTCGCGCAGGATGCTGACGTCATGTCACAGTGGCTCATTGCCATTTTGGACAGGATAATTCTCCACCCCCTGCCCCAAATTTTTAAAATGGTGGCAAAATACACATAAAATTTACCCTTAACCATTTACGAGTGTACAGTTCAGCGGTGTTAACTGCACTCATCTAAGTGGACTCACACAGGACTGGTCTTTTTGTGACTGTCTAGTTTACGTGAGATATGTCTTCAAGGCTCACCCCTGCGGTAGGCAATGGTAGAGTCCCCTTCCTTTTCAAGGCTGAATAGTATTCCTTCGTGGACACGCCACATTTTGCTTATCCATTCATCATTTCACCCACTGTGAACAACACAATGAAAAGCACAGGTGGACAAATATCTCCCTGAGGGCTCTGTTTTCAGTCCTTTTGAATGGATACCCAGAAGTGGAACTGCTGTCACAGGGTCGTTCTGTGCTTAACTTTGAGGTGAACTGACTGCTGCATTAGTTCACACCCCCACTGACAGTGCACAAAAGTTGGAGTTGTTCCACATCCTCACCAACACTGGTTATTTTGCTTTTCTTTTTTTTTAGGATTGATTTATTGACTTGAAAGGCAGAATGACAGAGAGAGAAAGAGAGAGAGAGAGAGAGCCAGATCTTGCATCCATTGGTTCATTCCCTCAAGGGCTGGGCCAGGCAGAAGCTAAGAGCCAGGAACTCCATCCTGGTCTCCCACACCTTAGGGTGGACTTGGGCCATCCTAGATTGTTTTCCCAGGCACGTCAGCAGGGAGCCGGATCAGAAGAGGAACAGCCGGGACTGGAATGGGCAGTCCGCCATGGGCTGCCAGCATTGCAGGCGGCGGCTCGCCCGCTGAGCCACACGCCAGTCTTCATTTGCACTCCTTAGCTATCAGTGATGGGAGCATGTCTCCAGGGTTTAACACACATCTCTTTGGAGAAATGTCTACCTCAGCCTTTTGCCTGTCTTTCACCTGGGTGGTTCTTGTTGGATCATCATCTGTCGGGGCTGGGGTGCTACCCTGCACACTTAGCATCCTGGGGCTGTACCCACGACAGAGGCCAGGAGCACTTATCCCTGACCCGCACGCCGCAGTGGAGTCCTGGTCCCAGCCCCGGGGCTGCTCCAGTTGAAAAATGCCCCAGATGGGGCCAGCGCTGTGGCGCAGTGGGTTACAGACCTGGCCTGAAGCCCTGGCATCCCATATAGGTGCCGGTTCAAGACCCGGCTGCTCTTCTTCTGATCCAGCTCTCTGCTATGGCCTGGGAGAGCAGTGGATGGGAGAGCAGTGGAGGATGGCCCAAGTCCTTGGGCCCCTGCACCTGCCTGGGAGACCCGGAAGAAGCTCCTGGCTCCTGGTTAGCTCCAGCCGTTGTAGCCATCTGGGAAGTGAACCAGCGGATAGAAGACCTCTCTCTCTCTCTCTCTCTCTCTCTCTCTCTCTCTCTGCCTCTCCTCTCTCTGTGTAACTCTTTCAAATAAAATAAATCTTAAAAAAAAAAAAAAAAGCATGTCTCCGAGGGTGTTTGGTGCCTGGTGTGGGGGTTAAGCCAATGCCTAGGACACCCACATCGCATCCCGTGTCAGAGTGCCTGAGCCTGGGTCCCTCCTGCTGACGCGCTCCCTGGGGGAGGGTCCCTGCTGTCCACGGGGAAGGCCTGCACTGAGTGTGGCCTGGCCAAGCCCTCGCTGTTGTGAGAGGAAAGTGTCTCCAAACACTGCCAAATAAATCCTAGGAACAAAGCTGCTCCCTCCCCGAGCCCACCGGGAAGCCCTGTTTGAGTCCCACTGCCACCTTCGAACACCCCGAGCGAGTCCCTTTCCCCACCAGACAAGGGGCCCAGCTGTCCTCCAGGACAACAGGCAGGTTTCATCTCAAACGCCGTCTCCAGTCGGCAAGCGGCAGCCAGGACTACGCTCACTGAGAAGAATCCTAAGCCCCCATGTCCGTTTAGCAGGAAAGACTGGCATGGTCAGCGCCTGCCACAGACACAGGACGGCAACGTGGTCCCACAGGAGCCGTGCAGCAGCCGGCCCCAGACGCCACTTCCTCCAGGCTGCTGATTGAATGCTAAGCGACTCGGGCACTGTCCTTTTCCATCTCAGAAAGATTCACGTCCCCAGAGCCGTGCCCTGGATTGTCGTTCTGATTGCCACACTTTCTGGGCACGCGGAGCTTCTCCGTGGGACACAGACCACGAGATGGGTGGATCAGACAGTCCCCACTTGGACTTTTTTTTTTTTTTTTTTTGATAGGCAGAGTGGATAGTGAGAGAGAGAGACAGGGAGAAAGGTCTTCCTTTTGCCGTTGGTTCACCCTCCAATGGCCGCCGCAGCCGGCGCACCGCGCTGATCCGAAGACAGAGGAAGGTCTTCCGTCCATTCCCATGGGGTGCAGGGCCCAAGCACTTGGGCCATCCTCCACTGCACTCCCGGGCCACAGCAGAGGGCTGGCCTGGAAGAGGGGCAACCGGGACAGAATCCGGCGCCCCAACTGGGACTAGAACCCGGTGTGCCGGTGCCGCTAGGTGGAGGATTAGCCTAGTGAGCCACGGCGCCGGCCCCCACTTGGACTTTCATCAGATTTTGGGCCCACTCTGTCACGATCCTCCTCGGCCTCTGCCTGGGCCCAGCCCAGTCCCCGGAGCCGCTGGACGTGCACCCACAGGTACCACTGTGTGCCCGTGTCCCGGCCAGACTTGAGTTCCCCCGGGATTCTCCACTCCCTTCAAACGTGCAGTGCCTGGCGAACAACAGGCTCTAATCAGCGCACGGTGACAGAGCACCCGGTGCTGGGTGACTCTCGGGAGGCAGCAAGGACAGAGGTTGGGACGAGGCTTGTCCAGGACAGGCCCAGGGCTCCGCCTCGTCATTAGACATTCTATCCAATTAAGTCATCCTTGGCAGCTGGCGCCTCTTGCGCCTCTGCCCCTAATTGCAACCAGATGCTCCTGGAGAACACGGGAGAGGGCAGTCTCCAAGCCCCTCCCCAGGGTGCCTACCGGCCGCCCACCAATGGCCCCGAGCCCCGAGCCGGGAAGGCAGCCTACCTACACCAGAGCTGGCATGCGCTCTGGGGCTGGGACCATGGCTGCCTGGGAGACAGCACTGTTTGTGCTGGGTGCCCCTGCAAGCAGCCCAGGGCCTGGCAGGAGCCCGAGCAGGGAAGCGGCGGCTGTGGAAAAGGCTCAGCCAGCTCAGACTGGGGTGCTGCAGGTGTGTAGCCATCACAGACCGGACCCTGAGGCCACCGGGCTGCCTGCGGGAAGCCCTAAGGCGCCGGCAGCGGGCAGGAGGGGAGCCCAGGGCTGGGGTGATGGAGGAGGAGACACCGGGGTTTGCCTGCCACCCAGAAGCTGTGAGACACGGGACCCATCCGCTTACCTCCCTAAGCCCCAACTTCCTCATGACCACAATGGGGCTGCAATCACGGCTGCCCACGGCACAGGCTGCCATGAGCATCGAGTGAGAACCCAAAGGAGGTTTTAAGAACCTTGGGCTCAGCCGGCGCCGCGGCTCACTGGGCTAATCCTCCGCCTAGCGGCGCCGGCACACCGGGTTCTAGTCCCAGTCAGGGTGCCGGATTCTGTCCCTGGTTGCCCCTCTTCCAGGCCAGCTCTCTGCTGTGGCCAGGGAGTGCAGTGGAGGATGGCCCAAGTGCTTGGGCCCTGCACCCCATGGGAGACCAGGAGAAGCACCTGGCTCCTGCCATCGGATCAGCGTGGTGCGCCGGCCGCAGCGCGCTGGCCGTGGTGGCCATTGGAGGGTGAACCAACGGCAAAAAGGAAGACCTTTCTCTCTCTCTCTCACTGTCCACTCTGCCTGCCCAAAAAAAAAAAAAAACCACCCGGGGCTCAGCGCCAGCATCAGACACAGGGAGTTCAGGAAAGAGGGCAGGGGGAGAGACAGAGGGAGGCCGTAGAGGAACAGGCCCCACCCTGGCCCGGCCCTGACTCTCGCCCTCCAGCCTAGGCCATATCTGCTTCCACCTGCCCTGCCCGGCAGAGTGCCCAGTGCCTGTGCGGGGCTCCTGAAAGCCTGGCCCTCCCCCCGTGTGCCACACTCACCTGCCCCCTCCGCCTCCCACTGGAGGGCTCCATGCTCCTAGCACACCTGGACACTCAAGAGTGTCCACCTGTCTGTGACACAAGAGGCTTCCAGAACACAGACTGATGGTTCACGCATTCATTCGGTCAATCATGGCTCTCAGTAGGGGACAGTGCAGTGGGCAGTCATATACCAATAGTGGTAATGAACATGAGGGCTAAGTCGCTGTACCCACAACAACCGATTTAATCCTGATGGCATCCTTCCTAGTTTTAGATCCCCATCACAAATGGGGAAACTGAGGCATAAAGACACAAAGGCACCGGCTAAAGTCCCATGACCAGTCCATGGCAGGACTCGACTTCAGGTGAGCTGAACCACACAGGCACTTGGGGGTGACCAGCAGTGCCCAGCCCCAGGTATCTATAAATGGGGATGACGAAACCGCCACTTGGTTTGAGTCCTTAGCCAAAGAAGGTATACTGAGCATGCGCAAGGTCACCTGGCCCCGCCGTGGACTGACGTTCCAGGGGGCCCCGGGAAGGCTCCAGCTGAAGCCCTGCCTCCTAATTACAGGGCAGGCTCCCACGCAGGACCCTAGCCTGGGGCACGAGGAGGCAGGGCGGGGAGGGGAGAAGAAGTCGGCAGGGAGAAGTCGGTTGTCTGTGTTTTCCCTCTGAAGGGACAGTCTGGGGTCTGGGACCCCTCTGAGTCCCTCAGTTGCTCACTCATTCATTCATTGAGAACCCGCCAGTGTGCCGGGCCCTGGGTGCTGGGTCGGGGAGAGCACCCAGAGCAGGCGTGCCAGCCCAGTCGGCTCGGTGGCACACACAGGGCAAGCAAGGCGCAAGCAGGGTCCTGTGCGATGGTGCCGAGCGCTCTGAAGCGTGTAGGACACACCCAAGGGCTGGGGCTGGGGCTGCTCGGGACAGAGCCATCAGGCTGGCTTCTCGGAGGAGGTGACCCTCGAGCTGACCCTTGTGAACTCGAGGGGCTGGCTGCAGGGTGGGGAGGGGCCGTCTGGTGACCAGGGAGAGGAGTGCGAATTTTAGGGTCAGCCTGTTAAGAGGTCCCCGCCGGGCAAGGAGAAAGCAGGAAGCGGGCAGGGGCACTGGCCTCTCCCACGACTCCCCTGCAGGACACCTCCGGCTGCCTCTTGCTTCTACCTCTGTTCCAGGGGCCTCCAGTTCCCCCAGGCCAGACCCTCGGTGCCCCCCGCCCAAAGGCCATCTTCCTGTCTGTCTGTCCATCTCTCTCTCTGCTGCCTATCTTTGGGGCGCGCACCTCTCCGGCTCCCATTCTAATGATGGATGAAGGCTCAAGGCTCTGCCAGACAAGCCCACGTGCCTCAAGGCAAGGGAGGTCCCAGCTACCTCCCAGGTCCCCACCAGCCCGGAGGACCCCTGGCCACCGTCTTCCAGCCCCTCCTTGCTACCAATGACCCCCCCCTTCCCAACCTTCTCATGGTTCACCCACCCGTCAGCTCACACCCCTCCCTCAACCCAGTCATGCCCACCAGTCAATCATGCCCACCACATGGGGCTGCCAAGAACCTCAGAAATCAGCCTGGCCAATCCCTTCTTATTTACATTGATTTTTAATGATTAACAGAAAAAAAACTCTCATAATTTCATGACCAAAAATCTCAAATGTTACTAACAGTCTCACTTTAGAAGTGCAGAAATAAGCCCAGAGAGGGAAAGTAACTTGCCCGAGGTCACACAGCAGCTGAGACGGTAGGACCAGAAGCCAAGGCTGCATCAGCAGCTTCCACTGCTCTCCGCCCTCACCTCCACCATCAGCCCCTTCCCCTCCCACCCCCCACACACTTCTCAACAGGAAGCCCGGCCTGTCTCACCCTGGAGACACAGCAGCCCCTAACCACTGCCTCCTTCGACCATTGGAGGAGCGCCCGGGGCAGCCGGCCCGGGTTTCTGTCTCTCCAGTTCTCTCTGCCAAGGGCCTGGCTGCTAAGTGCCCCTCTCCCTGACTCCAGAGAAAGTCTGGCTGCAGAGAACTTGGTGTTAAAAAGGGTCCTCCTTCTACAACACGAGGGATTCGGGGCCGGTCCCAGAGAAGGCTCCCAGCTGGAAGGCTGGTTTTGGAGAGCTGCCGGAAGGGGCAGGGGGTACGCCGAATCCGCATCTCCAGGCTCAGGGGCTCAAGACCAAAGGCCCCCAGGGCAGAGCAGAAGGGACGGATGGACGGCGGGTCCCAGCGGCGGCGGCGGGAGGAGGGGCAAGTCGCTGCCTCCTGGGCCCACAGCCTCTCCACGGCGAGGCGGACCCTACTGCCCTTGCCAGGGAGACACGCGGGGTCTGCACCACCCCCCTGGCTGCTCCCACTCAGCCCCCAAATCTGACTCAGAAGCGGCCCGGGTCCTCCGCGGGGAGGGGGGGGGGGAGGAAGCAGGGAAGAGGCAGAAAGAGTCTAAAGCCGCCACCTTCAAGGGCAGCGCGGGGTCCCTGCCCACGCACCCGCAGCGCCCTGGCCTCCCACCGGCCAGCCTGCTCCCTTACGCTCAAGCCCATACCTGCCGGCCTGCCCCTTCCCGCCCCCTGGCCCACCTCGGCCAACTTCAGCCGGTC